AGCCCTCTCCCTGAGCAAGTGCCATTTTTAGGTCTGTCACCAGGGATAAGACGAGGCAACTTCTCTGTAAACAGAGTTCACAAAGCGTGCGCTGCTGAAGGCTTCCACCGGCGCCTCCCACAGTGAGCACACCATTTAGGGCCTCAGCTACAAAGATGACATCGGTGACTTTGTAGTTTCACATTTAAAGCAGGGATTTTAAAGTGTTGCAATTTGAGGGGGAAAAAACCAAACAAACCCCCCGTCCAGTCTTCTGTACTATCTTGACCTGAACAGTTTCTTCTCCTGAATTTGAAATGCTTGGATTTTGAAACTAGATTTCTATGCTTTAAAATATTTGGTAGTTTCCTGAATATTTGATGCTTCATTTCTGAAACACTATGACAGCCTCATCATACATTTCATTCTACAATCCTGGCAGTTCCAAGCTCAATTTTTCCTTTATTTTTTGTCCAGGGCCACACTGGTGAGCAAGTTGAAGAGAGTTAAATGCACAGGACTATTGGACCTTAGATTCCAGATGTTCCATCTTGGAGAACTCAGCTTCTCCTGATCTTTATAGTTCTAGGCCAGGAGAGACTTGGACCTTGTATGTCCATCTGTACAGTCTTCTCGAGTCTTCTGGGATCAGCACGTTCCTTTGCACATTTGAAAATGCTTGGTTTTCATCTGCTGCTTCGTTGTTTTGGATCCCAACTCTCCACAAATTATATTTATTTTCTGAAAAGCCTGCAATTCTGCCTCTAAAATGTGTGTAGTTAGAGGCCCCTTTCTGCTGAAGATTGAGGCTTTAGAAACAACCCAAGACATGTAACCAAAGGAAGTGACTGTACCACAGAATAAAACATAGTTCAGCTCTATGAAGAAGTTGAGAGGGAGAAGATACAAAAGTTGTGTAAAATTGCAACTCGCGAGCACACAAAACAGAAGATTAAAAAAAGCAGATTAAAAAAATGTTTACTAGAAACTGTAAGAGAGGAGGCTAACACACCTTTGTACACTGCACATCACTCCCGTTAAGCAGGAGGAAGAATGATTTATTCCCATCAACTGCAGAGTGATTCCACCACCTTCCCAAAGGGTTTCAGTGCTAAACAACGGCACCCAAAGCAGAGACCCACTGAAAACCACAGACAAGTGATCGCACCAAGAAGCGCTGAACCCAGGCCCTACAGCAGATCAAATCTGATCGATCGTGAGGACACATCACCATCCTGTGTTGCCAATCGATTCAGCAGAGCAGAAGGGAAATGCTTTGGGGGCTGGAGGGAAGAATCGCTCATATGGAAATTACTGACAAAGCAAAAAAAAAAAAAAATCCACAGTATGTCTGGCCTATAAAGAGGAAAAAGAACACTTCTGCCACAGATGGGGAACCAGCTAAGCAAGCTACTGACTGCTTCAAGCTGCTCCTCCTTCCTCCCTTGCCTGGTAGGATTAAGCTTGCCACAAGCAGACATTACAAAACTGGAGAGAACTAGACTTGTTCCTTCGGAGGCAATAGCCAGTTACAACTCCAGGAAAAACATGTTGATACATTCTGCTGTGGACATCATTGGCTTTGGCAGCTCTGTGGGAGGAGGGAAACCCTTGCGCAGTGGTGGGGGTGGCTGCAAGCGGAGACAGCAGGCTATCGAACTACAGCCTTCAATCACCCACTCAAAGACCTCTCCTGTCTTTGCAGGAAGGTCAGAGAAGAAAAATGCTACAAATAAAAGAATCAGGCAACCCTCTCAGGTTGTTCTGGGTTCTTGTCAGGTGGTGTTTTGTCTGGGTTTTTTTCCCCCCCAAAAGCAGTATATATAGGAATGTCGTCTTACTCAACAACCCATCAACATTTTTCACCACACTAAACGTGGCACGGACATTTTCCTGAGCTTTCAGATGGCAAGTCTGAGCTTGACACTGTGTGAGGGGGTTTCTTTTCCCTCTGCTGAGATTATCCTATGACTACCAGAAACCCTCAGAAGTCCCCAGGTACCAGCCAGCCAAGGGCACCATGCTCAGAGCTGCAATGTCCATCCTCCCTGCTGACAGGGACCCCAGCTGTGCCTTGCGTTGGCAGCAGCTCAAAAACCAATTGAACAGCCACCACTGACAACAGTATGCACACGGCAGTTCAGCGAGGTCGCCAAATTCTTCCAGAAGGATCATGCCAAACCCTAAGCCCGTTCCTGGCTTTGGCCCAGGACTTAACCTAGTATTTGAACGCCTACGTGGTCCCTGAGGAGAGCTCAGCTCCGGGAACTTCACATGCCTTCTGAGCAGGGCCTCATGAGAACGGATGCTTCACCTCAAAACTGTGTTTGCTGCTCCTGCCACAGGGCCTGTTTAAAGGGCAAGATCATACATCCTCTTTTAAGTGGAACAGCAGTCAGGCCGAGCTTTCTTCTTGGGCTCAGCCACTAACAGGATGGAAAATGTTCCTGCATGCTATGAAACAAACATTGGCAGGAAGCGGGAAGTGGTTTCTATGCATGGAATGGACAGTTCAAGAAAAAAAAAAATAAATATTCTCCCACTTGTGGGCTTTTCCACAACACCAGGGTTTTCCTTTCGTGACCATGTTTCTCTCCCATTACTTACCTAATTTGCCAGAAATGAACATGGAACTTGCTCATCACCTGGAGGGAAGCGCGTTGTGCTGCTGGGATGACAGGTTCCAGAGACACTGCAGCAGGACGAGGAGCTGCAATACATTTCTAAGGAAGAGAAGGCCATAGCGCACACTTACCTGAGAAGGACCACAGGTCTGCCCCTCTAAGCTGCCCAAGTCAGGTTCAGCTCTCAGAGCCAGTCGGCTAGAACACAAAACCAGCCAAACACACAATTGCGGAATACAGGATTTATCAGGAAGGGGGATGTGGCAGCCAGCCTGGGGAATTACGTAATGAAACCAACCGAAAGTCTCTCCATGCATCCACCAGAAGGAAAGTGATCTGCCTCAGGGCAATATACTCCAGTATCACGTATTGGTAGGTATGTCAGATGGCAAGAACACAGAGCTAGCAGGAACTCCTCTTTACTGGAGTAACTGCAGACAGGGATGGAAGGCAGGAGACTGCAGAAGCATCAACATTAGTGTTCTCATTCAGGTTAAAAGGATATGCTTTTGAAGTAAGCTTTGAAGTTACCTCCACATATCATAGGTTGGAAAAGACCTTTAAGATCATCAAGTCCAACCATCAACCCAACACCACCATGCCTGCTAAACCACACCCCGAAGTGCCACATCTACACATTTTTTCAAACACCTCCAGGGATGGTGACTCCACCACTTCCCTGGGCAGCCTGTTGCAATGCCTGACCTTTGAATCGTGTTGTGAAGCAGTGTCAAACCACGAAAACAGGAGGACCAGTGAGCTAGGAAATGCAGTCCCAGAGCACCCCGACACACTGCAGCCTCAAGTGGGCATTCAGTCTGCAGAACAGACCACAGCACATCTGAAGCAAAAGAAAAACCCTACCCTAAAGCGTGTATGGCACCAACTACTTTATTGCAAAGAGAATTGCTTGTCTACAGTATTTTGTAATGTAGAAATTGTCAGAAAACCAATCTCATCCCACGGGTACCCTCTGCATATCTCATACCAGAGACACATCTACAGCCTTTGAAATGAGAGAAAGCAAGAAGAGGAAATGAAAGCCACTCAATCTTGAAGTCAAATTCGCCCTCCACACAGCTCTGCCATCAGTGTCAAGGATAGGAAAAGAGGTACCTCCTACTTCAATTAACAATGCAAGTCTACTAGTTAAAACAACAATTTATCCTTCAGTCTCCCAAGGGGACACTCTCGTCATCAGCAGCTGCTCTGAACGGTTACAGCTGTCTTCTCTAACACCAGAGTCCAACAGAAGGCTTAGTTATCACAGAATCACAGAATGTTTGGGGTTGGAAGGGACCTCTGTGGGTCATCTAGTCCAACCCCCCTGCCCAATGGCTTTGTCTTTTCTTACATAAAAGGATACCATCAACAACTACAGCAAATAAAAGTGATTTAGCAAAAAAAAGAATTCTTGAACAATTCACACCACATCATGCAAACCTCCCTCCAGTTGAATTAAACTTCCGCCACCAATTAGCAACTATATGATGACCAGAGCTGTTTGATGGACAAAGGGGGGTACACTGGCCATTCAGCCAGGTTGAAGCCCTGAATGGCTCCTCCCAGAAGCATTCTTTGCAGATGCGTATGACAGACACCGCACTCTCTCTCCTACTAGTCAATGCTTGTTTTGATCCCAGGGACAGAGAAAGCTCCCCACAGCTTCCAGGTCAACACACCTGTCTTCACCCTCTATTCTTTTTAGTGCACCTGTACTGCATGGAGAAAAGCCACCACACAGCTGCACACCTGCTGACTTACAGTCCCTCTATAAACAGAGGGTTTGCACAAGCTGTTATGTGTGGGTCACTATGTGACCCAACTGTAAAAGCCATTTTTAGTAGCAGTATTTTTGTAATATACCTGAAAATTTATAGGATTGCGAGGAAATGCAAACGAGGCATCCTGAGTAAGAGACAGCAACTGGTTCCATGACGATCTTACTTTGTGCTTCAGGAAGAGTTCTAAGATGCCAAACCCTACAGAAGTACAAAGGAGCTCTTTGCAATTGCATCCATGTACACCTTGTGGCCATTGCTACGAGGCAACTTTAACCTTGGCAAAATATACTCAGACCTTAAATGCTTCCATGAAAAGCTTATGCAAATGTGCACATAAACTGATAAAATCAGCATCTATAAAAGTCCATATAAACTGATTTGTCATTATATGTACTGACCTTATTTCAATTCAGTTTTCCTCATTCACGAATAAGAAAGCAGCAGTACGAAAGGACTCAGATGTTTCAATTTTTATTGCAAATCATTTGCTCCTGCAATATTTCATAACTATTTCAACTAAGGCAAACTGAAGAATGTTTACATTAACATTACTCTCATTAGCTGTAGCATGATATACAAATAGTCACATAAGCTTCAAATATGCAGCCTCATTTTATCGTCGTCCGGCTCTATTCTTCATTGCTTTCAAAGTTTTCCTCATGATTGGTGCAATTTCTTCAGTAACAAAACAAAAAAAGACCAGTTAGGATTACAGCTATGACTTAACTATTTTAACTGCTTGTCTATTAATATATGCTTAATATTATGCTAATACCATTTTATCTCGATAATCTTAGGAAATTAATTTACTTTTGATAGGCTTCTTTCCATCTTGAGTCATTATGCTTGAGCTACAGCTCCCACTGTGGCTAGCAGGGATCAGGTTTGATGATGTGTTATTTATGTCTCTGCTTTCTGGAATCCTTGTTCTTTTAAAAGAAGGAAATGAGAAAAAAGTTAGCGCTTGATATCAAGCTACTATTTGGTCTGTCTCATTCTGGAAAAAAACAAAAGTGATCACAAACAAAGACTTTATACATTTAAAAATTATAGGATAATTCAGATTAAAAGGGATCTTAGGTAGTCACTTAGTCCGTTTCCATTCTTGCACACATTTTCCAGATTTGATGCATCTTATCTGTTTTTAAAATTAAATGATCAAAATTTGTGACAGATCAAAACATTCAGCAATACCATTATGATTCACAATGCCCTGTGCTCTAGTTTGCTTTTAGTGATTGTTTTCCTCTTTGAACACAGCTGAGCTGCTAACTAGCTCTCTGAGAAAATGAGAGCAAATTTACACAAGCTTGCATATTTTTTTTAAAAGTAGGAATGTCTAGAAAAGGGCACAGTAAGTAACCCTAAATACTAGGTTGGAATCCTCAATCAACAGGACAAGGACTGAGGCAGATGCAGATACAGAGCTGATGCCTACTGCTAAAGACAGTTAAACCGACACAGCATTGAAGTGTCAGCATGATGTTATCAATCTGTGCAGCCTTCTACGCCTCCGAGCCAGTCGCTGACGTCTGCTGCCCGTTGTCGTGTACCACTGCATGCTGGACTGCAAACAGGAGCCTGCTAGGGATCTGCATGTCTGCCACAGGACCCTTCTAGCTCCTGCTAGACCAGCTTCTTAAGCGAGGATGTCAGCTGTACAAATTCTACAGCTTGCATAACAGATAGGTTTTCGCAGGACATGGTCAAAGCAATGAAGTTAAACTCATCGTGCCTAAACAAACTCTTGTTTCTCAAGAAAGCAAAGCAACGACCCTCTTACGGCTTCTTTCACACAACAGCAGTTCTTCCTAATTTATCATGAAAAAAAAAAAAAAAAAACACAAACACGTGCAGGGCTTTGAGTACATCACTCAGCTGCCGGTCCAGAGATTACTGGAGCAGAAAGGACATTTACCCTTGAAGCACCTGAACTGGAAGGCTGGTTTGTCACAACACAGATACAGCCTCCCACAGGGCAACTGAAAGCAAAAGCTTAACTCCAAGTGCCTTCCGCTACAGCCTTGGCGGGGGGCTATATTTTCATTGAAAAGAACAGTGTGGAAAGAAGCTTCAGAATCTCATCAACTAAAGGTGCAGCTATAAAAGTATCATATCTGGTGTAAAAGCTATTGTAAGGAGTTGCTACATCCAGGCTGTCATTCCTGCCCCAATACACCACCATCTTGAGCAGTAAGTCAAGGCTGCTTGACTAAGTCAAGCTCCTGAAATTCACAGAAAACACATTTTCCCATGGTTTTGTACGGGTTTTTTTCACCTCAATAAACCCAGGTCAGTTCAGCAATCTAGCTCATGTGCCTAAGACCAAACAATTACTCAGCACAGCTGCAGGCACTGCAGCATCATAACAACCAACTCAAAATTACTCCCCTGACATGTTCAGCTATGCTGTAAGCCTTGCATCGCATTTGCAACAGCTTAAGTTTTATCCTCCCTGTTTCCAGCTCTCTGTCACTATCCACTCACTTATTTGTCAACCTGCACAACTGCTCCCTAATTCAGGTTAATGAAAAATGTTCCACCTGCTGCTCCCCCACAGGGATAATTTTGAGAGAGCTAGTTGAAAAGCAGTTATGCCAACACGGGAACAACCACAGGCAATGGGGACAAGGGAGGGCACCATGCTCACCAGCAGCCACAGCACAGTGAGCGACTGCAGCTTAAGATACCCACATTCAGGCAGTACGAATACTCTCCATGGTTTTTACGGTCCAACTGCTGGCACATGGACTTATCAACCCACGGGGTGTTTCTGAATCAAGCTGCTGATTTTTCTTTCAGACAAGACCACATATTCAAATAGTAAAAAACAGCAGTCTGTCTCCACGTAGTTGAGAAGGGAAGAGGAGGTAAAGCTGGTGCTAGAGCTGGTTTATCTCCCTGCTGCAGCCATCCTCTTGGATACAAGAGAGCTCCTTAGGCTGGCAGGGACAGTATGACAAAAGTCACGTCTCAGCTTTGGTTCTCATGGCTGTTACTCTGAACTAAAGATGTCACAAAGAAAATTTGTACTGACAAAGACACCTAAATGCAAGTTAAAAGCATAGTACAGAACACTTACTTGCATTTCTCTATGGGATGAAGTTGGGTGACAGGCCCTGCTGTCCCATGGATTTCTTGCTGTCGGCGAATGTTCCTGGGTGGTTTTGCTGCACTGGTCACGTAAGCCATTTTTACTTGCCTGCCTAATACAGAAGCAAGGAACAGAGGATATGTGACTTTTTGTGCTCTTTATGTTCAAAGCTCAGTTGATAATATGGTTGTGTGGTAATTTCTAGGTTTAAATGGGGAAAAAATAATTCAGAAAATCTGGTAGCAAAGCAGTAACTAAACCATAGCAAATCATATACAGGCTGCATACAGTATTTCTTCATATATATACACTTTGGTGTTTGTAATTACATTCATACTCTTTGGATTGTTGCTTAGAAGCCTCAGTCTAACCAGTAAGGTAAGATTTGTCTACCATATGCTGCAAGTATTATGCATCACTATATTGTATTAATACATGGTGGGTTTTTTTGAGCAACTTGTAAACTAAATGGAACAGTGTTCTTTCTTGGTGACTTCTCCTAGAGGTACATCATTAGTGTTCAGCACAAACAAATCACCGAACCCTACACATTAAGTGTCAAGAATAGCAGAAGATACTGGGTCTTGTAAGTGGAAAAGCTAACCACAGATTTTACCTTTTGGTTTCTCAGATTGAGCTGAAAGAATATTTTTTGTAAGTGTCTTCAGTTTTTCCTCTCTCTGATTAAATAGTCTCAAGTACATTTCACGCCAAGACTCATATTCCAGAAGGCTCTCATTTTTAAAATCTCTCTGGCAGTGTTTCTTCCACAAGTGGTCAGACTCTTCCGTAAACGTCTAATTTGAACACAAGATATCTTCAATCAAAGACTTAAAATTTTCAAGAGTACCTGTTAGCTGAGCCTGTAGACAAAGCCAAATCCCCTAGAGAAAGGTGCAGAACAAATCCACCACATGTGCTGTCCCAGGTACCCCATACATGGAACATGGCAATACCGTGCAGAGATACTGACTTGAGTCTAGAAATCAGATAGCTTCAAATAGCAGAGCTCTAAAGTTGAGTCAGTGAGCCATGCTTACAGGCTAGACTTGTTTTTCCAGCACAGCCTCCGGCCACACCAGCTCTCAACTTCAAGCATGCAGAGAAATGGCCAACTCGCACTACAAAGTGCTACACACTCAGAACCTCCATGTCCAAATGTACCATGGAGCTGAAGTCCTAACAGTGTAGATAAGTCTACCACACACATGAAATCTCACCCCAGATACTTCCCGATCAGCACGCTTTGCAGCCTTAGCAGTTTGCAACTCAAAAACAGTTGGTTCTGTTATGACTTTCCCAGCTATTTCAGTGGTAAATACTGTGGTCTTTTCTTTTTCTTATTTTTAGACACAGAAATACTTTTTTACCCACACTGGCTTTCACTTAGTCATCAGCAATAACTCTCCCAAATGCTTCAAATCCTGCCACTAAAGAAACAGAGGCTTGATAATGACAGCTGAATTCAAAGAAATAAGTTTGCAAAGACAGAAAACCAGTGTTAACCCATGGAGAATTTTTATCAAAAAGGGTGCAAGGAAGGCAGAACCAGACGCCTCATGTCCTCCGTGATTCCCTGAATTTAACAAGGCAGAATTTACCGGATTACACTCCTCTATTCGAAACAACTGCTCTGGTGTGCAACGTGTTAGCACAGGCTCAAGAATTTCAAAGGGCACACCTCCTACTTCATGTAGCGCTACAAAAGAGGACAGTACTTTCAGTATCTCATTTATTTTACTCAGTGGGTAACACCGCTCAAACAGTTTGAAAACAAAAATGCCAGTTAATTTTAGCAAGCGCTAACAGAACACATGTCTTAAAGTCAGGCTGTGAAAATATTTATAAAATCAGTCGTTCCACATTGACTGGCAGTTTTTGAGAATAGAGAAAGCATCTTTGAATAGCTGTTGCCCCATCTTTACCGACGTTCATCACTCCCCTCTCTGCCTACACAAGGGAATAAGCAATTTCTTGATCACTCATTCCAATTTATGTAAACAAACATCTTGGAGAGGAAAAAAAAATTCAACAGGCTTTTTGGCTAATAAATTATAGGACATTATATTTTAACTAAAATTGGAACTTTAAAAAAGGGAAGCTTTCAAAACAAAACCATATTTTAGCATGGCCATAAATTCATTTTTTTAAGTGCCTTTCAACCTGCTCTGAGGCACCATTTGTAGGGAGGGGCAATATTTTTTAGTAGGCCAGTTAGTGGCATGGAGAGAAGAAAAAAAAAAAAGGCAATCTGATACACTTTCAGGCACAGCCTGCTACAAATACCTCAAAGTACTCACAATCAATATTATTTTGCAGCACACGGATGCACTGTTCATACAGTGTAAGCATCTTTGATAGACAGACTGTTTTAGCGCCGGAGTAAACTTGCATTTTAGAGTTCAGTCTCCGTCCCGTGAATTGAACCGTCTCACTGACTTGCTGGGGTGCTTCCACAACCGGTGCTACGGAAGCTGCAAACAAAACATCAGGCAGGGTTTCCTTTACCTCCTGACATTTTACAGTACTTTAAACATTCAGCTTTGAGAGAAACACAGCTGGTAGGACACATGTATATTCATTTTTCTTGACATACAAAGTTACTGCATTACAGTTTGAGGCCCTGACAAGTATTATGTGTTACAGAAGTCCATTCATCATCATCTAAGACCAAGACAGCACGTATGTTGCAAGTGAGCTGCACCAACTCAAACCAGCCTCACATTATTTAGCTCAGGTCTCATGAGCTGTGTTCGCATCTAAACTACTCTGATACCAGTCTACAGCACATTATTGATAGTCCTGAGTTACCCTGGTGAAGCCAGAAGCTGCAACAGCAGTGATGTTTCAAGACCAGAGTGATATTAAGCCTCTGAAACCTCCCAAGAGCTGCTAGGAGAGCCGCTGGCACTTTGTGTCACCTGCCTACAAAGATGCTATGCCAAAGCTAGACCTACTGCTTCCTATATTTGTTTTACCCAAGATAGTTTCTGCTAAGGCTTTGCCTGCTATAAGGTATAGACGGGAGTAAAGATATAAATTGAGTCTGTAGAACTACCACCTGATCTATGCCTTTTCTACACCTGTGGTAGCCTTCCACAGTATGTCTTCATTCAGCAAGTCAAGAGGGAAGCCTTTGTAACTCCCATCAGCACCAACAGATTTCTACAGATGAGAAAGTGAAGGTAAGACATTTCTGTGTCATGGACAGATAAGCTAGTATAGTTTATTAGGAAAGGGGATAAAGATGGCTCTACATAGAGAAAACAAACGCACTATTTCACATTTATCAGCCTTACATACTACTTACCTTTAAAGTCTGCAGCATATGGGGGAGATGAGATTGAGATGCCCGTGAGAAATTTAGGCAGTGGAGTATTAAGCAGATCTTGGAGGGATGCCACCTTGGCCTGTGCACAGTCAAGGAAACATTGCTTCAACATTACAAATCTGGCATTACTGAGGCTTAAAATAAACTATAAAAAATACCTCTTAAGTTATATTAACTAATATAACGAGAGTTACTGCTTTTCTGCACTAAAATTTACTCACTGGATTACTTTTCAGCATACCCTTTCATACTCTGCTTACCAAGACTACATCACAAAAGGAACTTAGTGGGATATCTGCAATCAGTGCATAAAAAGAGATTAAAGAACAGAGTAGTTGTGTTCGGCTAACAGGCTTTCAGATAAATTCCTATTGAGGTTAGAGGCATGTAGTGAATGACACTAAACGGCAAGACAAGAAAACCACAGTTAAATGTTTAAAGGCAAACTAAATGCCACTGAAAGACAAGAAACAGCTTTATACCTGGCCCTACCAAGTCTTCTGTATTGTGGTGGATAAGCCATTTAGCCTACAATTTTCACAGCTAACCCCTTAAGAGGGGATTTAAATATGCAGAAGTCTGGTAAGTACAGGTCCCTACAAATGCTCAGCATTATATGCAACATCTAAATTGGGTCTTAGGCGTCCTCCAATCGTAAGTCAGGCATTAATAGCCCAAAACTTGCATCTCCCTGAACTTCATTTCAGTATCTTTAACAGCTTTTCACAACTGTTGAAACATCCAAGATTTTTTCTCAAACAGTTTATGCTAGAGAATCATACACAAGCCTCTACATTAGTATGTCTCCATTTGGGACAGAAGACACCACATTCAGATTGCAGATCTTCCTCAATAAACGAAGTCTGGAGCTTTCACATCACAGTAAAGATAAAAGACTGAAGAGAACTCTAATTCCCGGTGCACAAAAGGGCTTCATTTAAAAGGTCTAATTAATACACGTTTAGATTTACCTTGGCTCAGAGGAGCTACTTAAGCTTCTTCCACTTCAAGGGACTAGGATGGTTCACATTTCAAACACGTATAAGCTTTTTTTGTATGCAATATTTTGGTTTACTTCAACGCATGCAAGAAGGAAGTTTACTTCCACTGCAGACCTTAACATTCACTGTTAAATAACCTTAGCACCTGACAAAACAACTGGGCTATACGCAAACAGCCGCTGCAGTCATAAAGCAGGCTGGTGAAGAATGGAACTAGGGGGCATCTTTCCAAATGTAAGTACTTATACTTTGCAGGTAAAAGGCAGATTAGCTGATATGGATCAAAGGCTATCGCCACATTGGAAATCATCCTAAAAATACAAGACAATTGTAAACAGCCAGTATGTAATAAACAATCATTTTTTGCCCCAATTATTGCAATTATTGGCATTTGCAATGCAGCTGATATGTCAGAGCCATGCAATCTGTTGCTTAAAATAAACACAGCTGACTTCCACTGAAAATAAAGAGTCCAAAGCACTTCTTCATCTGCAGTTTATGTGCTATTATATCAGCCATACAGTGCTTTACCTTTTTCTTGGGAGCCTCTGATTGATCACCCTCATGTTTCTTTCCATCTTCCTCTCCCTCTTTTGCATGAGAAAATTTTGAAGTCTTCTGTGGTGATAAGCTGTTCTTCTGTTCACTGCACTTCTTTGGCCGTTCACCTGTAGAACAAGCCTTCCTCTTTCTTTTTTTGGTAACCTGATCATAATTAAGATAAGATTCAAAAGACATAGTAGGGGGCTCAAATTCCTCATCACTAGATAATACAGCTTTGCTTTTTATGACAAATTCTTGTTTCGATTTCTTCATGTGCTTAGGATTTCTCTGTTTGGAAGCATCCTTACTACACTTTTCCTTCAGGGGTGATAGCTCTTTACTGGCTACAGAGGAACCTTGCTTTTCTGGAACTTTCTTGCTGTCTCTGGAAGTTCTCTCTCTGAAGTCACTTTTTTTAGCTTGAGGATTGGTATTCTGGGAAGCACGCTTCGAACCACTGCTGCTACATTCTTTATTATTACATTCTTTTTGAGCCTCAGAATCTTGACTTTGGTGTGTCTTTTCACTGCAAGCATGTTGCTTATTCAACTTTTTAGAAACAGGAGAGCTATTGGAACTTCTGGAGGCCAGTACAGATGCTTTGGACTTCTCTGGAGGCTTAATCTCCTTGGAAGCGGAAGATTTTGTCTCACCTTTTTCAGTACTTTTTCTTCCTCTGTGACCACTGCAGCATTAAAAAAAAAAAAAAAAAATCACATCCAATGCTACATCTGATGCTAAATTCTTGAATAATCAATCTTTTAACCTGTATTAGTAAAACTAAAAGCATTAATTCACACCATATGTCATAATTTTAAAAGACTCAGAACCATGCTCTGCTGCTGTGCTCTTATTCTTCAATTATCAGTACAGAACCCCAGAGAGGCAGCTCTTGGGTCCAGCACCGCTAAACACTGCAACAAGAGTCGACAGCAAGACAAGTGGGGAGTCAGGACATAACCACCAGTAGGAAAACATGCCTAACTACTATTTGCTTATAAAATGTTGGACACCACTTTTTACACAAGCTTCCCTGCATGCCTTATAACACAGACATGGTACTTCAAATAACTAGGAGATAGAGAATTTATGATATGCTCTGTAGGTGATACAGATTACAACAGGTCAGCCTTTACGCTGTGCTTATCACAGGTTCTGTTATTTTGCTTTCTTGTCATTTGAGCGACTTCAGATAAAATGCATTATTTAGTCAATCCAAACCTTTGGCTTTCTCAGCTCAACTGCCCCAAATCATCAGAGGTCCGCAAAACATCTAAAGCACAGTCAGCCTGGCCATGGCACTGGTGGTTGTTTCATTCCGAGAAGAAATTGCATCTCTTCAGTGTGACTGCCCCAACTGGAAGCCCCTCTCAGCCCACAAGACCATTATAGGAAAGCCCTCTGTACAGCCAGATCACTGGAGAGCTGCCTCATTTAACCACCGCCTCTGGGAAGAAAGCGCAAGCTTCCCACTTCCCTGAAGAAGTGCAGAGCAGTGCCCATCATTGGCCTAGTCCTGCTTGTGTCAGCCGGGACCTAAGAACTTGTGCCAGTAAAAAAAGGCAGTTGAAGTCTGAGTGTGGGCTGGCTAATTGACCAATACCAGTCGCTCTGATTTGTTTTCTGATATTATAGCAGGAAAAACTCATTTCTTCAACTCAATTTATGCATCTGTCCTAACGCATATCTGTCACTCCAAACGCTTTCCTAAGCTTGCCAAGCTGTATTTTGTAAAGTTACACTACAGAATAATTAACTTTAGAAAGAAGTTAGTTCACACCTACCTTTTATTTTCTGGTGGAATAAGTTTTTTCCATTGTTTTACCAGGGCTTTAGCTACATTCCCCGCAGCGGCATGTTTCCTAAGACTATTAACTGTTTTGCCTATGCCAGTTTCCTGTTGAAGACAGTGCAAGAAAGATGGGCAGAATAAGCCATGACTAACATCCCAAATAAACCCTTTTCCAAACCTGCTACAAACACTATTAGCCCAGTAGTCAGAGCAGTCTTAATGACAGCTAAAGAAATAAATGCACACTTTATACTGCAAACAGAACTGAAGGAAAGGTAGATATTTATAATCAAATATGCGGAATAAAATGCAGTCTTAATTCATAAAACTAAAAGAAGTCATTTTCCTCCATTAAATGTACGTATTTCAGGAATTTCACTTGGCTCGAATGCTTATGCCCACAAAATGCATGCTGCTTCAGTGAATTAGATTAATCAATTCAAATTCCCTTTAGGCTTATGCAGGTACATTTGAACATGTTAGAGAGTACATATGATGGACATATTGTAATCTAAAAATGCATCTCAACCAGGAGTAGCATGGGGTAGAGGGGTCAGAAGAGCAGAGTTCATATGACTAAACTCAGTCTCATCCACAAAAACAAACAAAAAAAATAAAACTTGACATTTAAAACCTGCCATTTTCTGTTTTCCCCCCATACAATTATTTTCACATTACCATTGTGCCTTCAAGTCTTGCTATAATGAGTTTTATGTTGTTTAAGCACAGATATCTCGCAGACTTTGAGTGTCTATAGAATCACAGGTAATTTTTTTAAACCCTGTATTATCAGGAAGTATATGATTCACAAACTCTCACTTTTAAGATGCTTACAAAACCTGGAATTCACTAGGTGCACAGCAACCTGTTAATGCTTTGACTACTGAAATGATACTCCTGTGAAGTCTGAGCAAGAGCTATACACACGATACGCCCACATAATCAGCTCACACCTTAGAAAGGACTTCCTTAAATTCACTTTAAGGATATACAGCTTCTACATAATTTGAACAACACTGATTTGGTAGATCAGTGTATTGCAAATAGCTTTAGGAAATCATCATACCAAATTTCTTGCATCTATTTATGTTCTTCAAATGTGTTAAAAATATGTGGACTCCTCAGCTGCAAGAGATCTCTTTCCTGTATTTGAATTGAAGGCTTCCATCAAAGTCTGTCACATTATAAAACATGCAGGTTTGCTGGGAACGCGAGTTGTCTACAGAAGCCCTTTGTCATTTTAAACAATTAACTGCAGTATGAGATTATTTTGTCTTCCAATAAAAACACAAAAATATTGCTGTATTCCAGTAGAATTCTACCTGTGTTTAGGCAGGCAAATGCCTTTGCCTGAATAGGCCAAATATCTTAATTACCATATTTTCCTCTTACTCTTCAAAGAGCTCTCACAAAAATCCACATTTTTCTTCTTTTCAAAACACAGACACATTGCTCTTAACTAGAGGCTTCATAGACCAGAGTGAGAATTTCTAGTATAAATTTTGATAGGATGCAGCTTGGATAAGCATGCAAGTCACAAGTATCCTTACTTTGGATGCCTGCTCTTTAAATGCAAGAAACTAACCTTGGGCTGCTAATAAAAGAAGATTTAGACAACTGACCTAAAGAATTGTTCACCCATATTTGTTTTGTCTTAAGCAAAACTGACTTGAAAGCAATTTTACAATAAGAAGAAACCAACCCTGAGTAGCAAAGTGTTCTCTATAGGCTCAGATTCCTGCTCAGTACTATCACTGTTGGCGTAACATCGCATTTGCCAAGTTGCATGCCCAGCTACCAGCTGGCTTTTGGAAAAGGCGCCATGGTTCCTTGTACATAGCTCTAAACAAATCATGATTAAGAGTCAAAATTACAAAATGCAACATGTTCATTGCTTCTATGATTGAAGACACCTGACATTTACATAGTAATTCACTATGGAAGAGTTTAATGTATTATTGGTCACTTACCACTAGAATATCCAGTGATATATCCAAATCCTGTAGTGCTTTAAGTGTTTTTATAATCTGGAAGGAAACATTAGATTTTTTTTAAACAAATATTCCTAAATTTTATTCTGTTTTTCTCATCCTCATTCACACGTTTAATCCAAAAATACTCTAAGATGAATATTTAGTAACTGCAGGAAAGTGTAAGCACTCCTTTACTGCACATCAGGGCTGTGCTTGAAGTGTGCTGTGAACCTGTGCAGCTCTGCCAACCCCCCAATTTCAGTAACACCAGAAAATCCAGTAGGTATGAATTTACCACTACAGATATTACATTAAAGATCATTAATACAGTAGCACAGGCCACATATACATGCCCACGCTCCTTGTGTAGCGGTGACCCTCATTTGCCATACAACTAAGAAAAGCTGCATTATGCAGAACCACCATATGAAACTCAGAAGTCTCCCAGCAGGTCTCCCAGTCAGCAGCACCACTCCTTCATCAGCCCAGGCCAAGAAAGGACAACAGAGCAGGTGGGAGCCCAGTTTGCAAAAAATAAGGCTTTGAAAACTGCAATTTGTACATTAACAAAATGAGCTTAAGCAACAACAGCTGTTCTGTTTCACACCGACTAAGTGTGCACCTGTTACAAAACTCAACATTTCTATCAAAGCACGAATGAATTTTTCAAATATAAAATGCTCACCTTCTTATAAGTGTTCTAATAATACAAGTCTCATTTATAAGCAGAGTATAAATTTCTTTGTCAATACAATACAATTTCTTTGGCGATGGGCATACAGCATCCCACAGTCTCGCAGTTGACTAACACAAGCAATTTGCCTTATCTTTCACAAAATTCAATGAACCTACATTATGTAGATGACAGAATTAACGTGCAACTGAAGTAACAGCATTTCATAGGGCTTTCACAAAGCCTGGAATACTAGTCAAGTGTTTCAGATCATTGCCACTTCTAAATGCAAGGCAGGAACCTGCAGGAATGTTTTTTTGCAGAACAGACTACCCAGAAACTTTCTAACAGCTATGCTAACTTAAGCAACTGATGAACTGTCATTCATGATATTAAATATTGCTTCTGAAACGGTGTTGCAGGAAGTGGAATAGGTACTAAAACAAGTGAGTAGCAAACGAAGCAGCAGTGTACAAACTGCACTGGGGGGGGGATATTTTTCTCTACAGTTGTTCTAAGTTTGCTCCTATAATGCTTTAGTAGTGGAATCCCACGCTTGACACCAGATTTCACTGTGTACAGTGGGTTCTGTTCTTCCTGTAAATCATCCACCCTGCAACAGTGTTTCTAGAAGTATAGGACAAACACTTCACAGCCTGGGAAAAAAACAGAGGAAAGGCTGTAACAGTAAGACATACACCTAGGACCAGAGGTAACAAATGAAGTCTCTCTCAGCAAGGTCAGCTAGCTACAAAATGTACCTACAAAAAAGCTTCCAGACCAAAACTTCAGAGCCAGTACGAAAGCCATGTGAAGTTCTGCTTATCGCCCATTTAAGACTAAGACACTCCAAGCCAGCAAGTTGTGTTGAGAATATATGCAGTGAAGTTAAAAACAATTTTGCATCTCAAGAGAACTATTCTTCCTTCCAAGAACAATACAAGCCTAACATTTAACTTTTCCCAGACGCTTCACAGATATAGGCTACCAATTTCATGAGCTGAAGACTTTTTCTAAATAATCCCATCAGGCAAGAAACGCACTGCAAAGATGCTTAAGTAGAAAAAAAAGAGCAATTGCTCACACTGTTAATCACAAGGATTAGAAGTTACACGATCAGTGTCAGGTTAGTTCATTTATTTAATTGATTAAAAATATATATCCCCATTCACTGAATTTATTTTGCAATAAAAAAAGGCAGTAGCCCATTGCTGACAGGTTATATTGTGCTATATGGGATGACTAGATGCTTAAGCAGTGCAAACTACTGGGAATAAATCCCACAGGCCAGAGACAAAACTATACATGGAAGAATATTAAAAGATGCTTTCATCAAGCTACAAAAAGAATGGGGGTTTTGAGTGTTTCGTCTTCATGGGTTTTGGACTCAGTTAATTTATAAAGCCGAATTCATTTCGGAAGAACAGATCCAGGAAGCAGGCAATTACTATTCATATGATTTCAAACCCACAGGCTAAATTACAAAAGTACTGAGATGACAAGCTTGTCCAAAAGCAGTCAACACATTTTAATGAAAGACAAAACTTTCAAAGTTTTCTAAACCAAAGACCACACTCTTCATTTTGCTTTCTTGAAATGTATTACCACATTTGGCAAATTCAGACAAAATAAGAGGGTTTCATTAAAAAGAAAACAGAAAGCACTGATCAAGCACTCTGACCAGCCTTTTAGGAGAAGCCGTCCTGATCTCCCAAAAGCAGGGAACAGCTCAGGCTGCAGCGAGATCAGCAGCTATGCATGTACTGGACTAACAAAGGAGAGCGAGCTCCATTTGCCTGGTACTGTAACTGGGCAATGTACAGGGCAGCACCCAGCCTGCCAGGAGGAATCACCCATCTCCAGGCCCTTGGCATTTAGAACCAAACTTACAGACACAACCGGGAAACAAGCAAATTTCATTGGTGGCAAGCATCAGTACAGCAGAGAAACCTTGTACTTACTCTGTTGGCTAGAGTTCTGATTTCCCTACCAAAGACTAGGAGGAGCTGCTTGCTTTTTAAAGCACAAATACCAAGCTCCAACACGTATCAGACTTTGGTGAAGGCCACAGAAAAGTATGCTGTGAAATGTCAGACACAGCAAAGCCTGTCACTGAAACTAAAGCTTGTTAGAAACGTGAACTTTGGTGTCATGCTATTTATATGGTGCACCGTTACAATTATCACATAAAATAAGGCAAAGACAGAAAGTAATTTATCTGAAGTCTGTTCTGAGCAAGTCTTCAAAAACATAATGAAGATTGATTGTTGAGGTGCCTTGCTCTAACCATATCTTTTACCACAGCATTTGCAGCCCATCTGCCTCTTCTTTTCCCACTGGACTGTACCCAACCCCCCCCCCCCCCACCCCCAAGTCCTTCCATATGCATTTTGTGTATATCTAATCCCCCACTGGCTTTCAGACTATATTACCCTGCATACCACTATCAGCTACGCCCTCATGGAAAAACTCTATTGACTTTAAAAGAGATGGTAAACCTCACAGAAAAATTATGAAGAACATAAAAGTTACCTCTGTAATTCCTGAGCTATTCTACATAATTCCCAAATACTAATTTCTAAAGAACAATCCAAAGCCTTCAAGACTGTTATTTTTTCAATACATGACATTCCAAGCAAGCCCAGGACACAGATCTTCATATGACGTAAACAGACAACAGAAGCAGAGCCTCATGCACAAACTGCGAGCTGCCACACACAGTGGTGTGAGACAAAAGCAAAGGTGACAACAGGAGCAAGAGCAAGCTAAGAGGAAGGGGAGGAGGAAAAGTAGGCAGGCATTTGGAAAGCAGGTGGCAATGGTAACGAGCAACAGGTAAGAAGCATGCAAGCAAATAGAACTTTCCAGTCAAAACTGACAGCAAAGTGACAATAACAACAGATCCCCAGTGCACCGAGTCCCTTCCCACTGCACCAGCATTGCTCCCTTCTGCAAGTGTCATACAGTCTCCTCATTTTTTCTAGCTGAGCTGGGACCTTCAGGAAGGATGGGACCCATTAACAGGTCCCCGGGCCATCTGTGGCCAAGGGACTGACTCAACATTTCACCACAGTAACTCTTTCCTGCTCTCTCTCCTTCTCACTCACTAGCTGCATCGCTCTCAAAGGGATCTGTATGATTATTTAGCTCATTCTCTTCTATATCTTCCATAATATAGACCATGAAATTTCACCAAGTCAGTAACTTCTAGCTGAGCTAGACACCTCATCTGAAAGACCATCAAGACTTCAAAGACAACACATTAAAAAAAACTCAACACACTCCCAAGTCATTCCTACATCCTCAGTAAAAAAAAAAATAAATATAATTAAAGGGGTCTTCTTTCAAACATCTTACATGACACAGAAACGTAAAGAGTAATCACACACTTCACCTTGGTTCTTTAGTTTCAGTAAGTTATACTAGCCAGAGCCACAGTCATTCTCTGGCCATCTTATTACCCTTCCAGCTTGGCAGCATTGTTTTTAAAAACAGTTCCCAGAACAGGACATAATATTCCTGTAGTTGTTCCTCTAATACTATATAGCAATAATAACATAACCCTGCTAAGCTACCCAAAGATAGTATTTATTCCATAAGCCACTGCACTGTACTGCAATTTCATGCTCAACTGGTAATGCATCAGAGCCCCAAATCATTTTCTGAGTCAATGCTTTCCAAAATACAGGCTCCTATCCTGCATGACCTATATTCATAGCTCCTAGATGTGACTTTCCACTGAGCCATGTTAAAATGCGTGTTGCTCAAATGAATGCAGCCTAGCACATGACCAGAGTTGGTTTCTAGCAGAGTCTCTCTTCATTTGACATAAATTACTTCAGTATTTGCAGCATTTCCC